GGGGGGGGGGGGCAGGGTGTTCATCGAGGCAACAATGGAAGTTCAGATGCCCTGAAAACCTCTTAGAGAAGACACAGCATTCACTCCATCATAAAGAAAACCCCAGGTGGTCTTAATAGTCACTTCTTAAAGCTCAGCACATACAAAACCTTTTCTGCAGAAAAACCGTGTCCCCCGTGAGCCCCGAATTCATGAGACCTGCTACCTGAGCAGGGTGAGGTATAGCTTATGAATCCCCTTCATTACTTAAGACCAAGCTCACTAAGCAATTAGCAGTATATGGAGACTCTCCGGGGAGGTATTTGAGAACAAGTTTTCCAAGCATTTTAGAAGCATTTATATACACCTAACATGCCATTAATCACTCTCATCTGTTCATTAAGGCGGCCTCCCTCAGGACGGCTACTTGCCAGTTCTTTCCCAGCCTGCTTCTTTTTATCTATAGACCCGCAAAGGAGTTCATTTCTTTTAAAATATATTTTATAATTAAAAGACTTCATTAATTCACAGGGGTGTGCTCCACCAATGAGTCTGCATTTTCTGGGTTTTATTAAATATACTGAAAGGCCGTTCTCTTGAGGGTCTTTGTGGAAGACAAACCATGCAACTCCAGCTGGGTTTTGGAATGCATTTTCAGCGTTGGAGAGATTTAGACCATTACCTACAGCATGATGTAAATCTGTCCAGATCAACACATGTTGCTTCTTCTGTCCCCTACCCAGAAGGGGGACCAATTTAAATTCATACTGTAATCTAATTGATATAAACTAAAAGTGAAGGGATAAATCAGATACTGTAACACGGAAAAGCAATCAGTTTGAAATGTTAGGTCAGCTGCTAAGTGACTATATACCTCTGCCTGCGACTCCTCCACACCCACGCTCGGGCCTCTTCTGGTTCCTGGGTCTGTCCATCCCAGCGCAGCAGGCAGGGAGGCCCCAAGCAGTGCAAGATGCAGCCAAATGTGTCCTGGTCTCATTTTGTTGAGTCTGTTGAGAAAACGACAAAGGCTTAGGATTGAGTNTCCTGGGTCTGTCCATCCCAGCGCAGCAGGCAGGGAGGCCCCAAGCAGTGCAAGATGCAGCCAAATGTGTCCTGGTCTCATTTTGTTGAGTCTGTTGAGAAAACGACAAAGGCTTAGAATTAAGCATTACAAAATGCAAGCACACCAGAGGTAGGTAGTATTTGTACTCCAGAATCAGATAAACCTGAGATAAGCCCAGACAATGACTTTTCCATTCTACTATGGAGAAGTTACATTACTTCTGAGCCTTAGTTTACTCATCTCTAAAATGGAGTCAACAATATGTACCTCATAGGGTTGCTGTGAGGACTGGGAGCCAGTGACGGGCACATAGTAAGAGCTCTATAAATGCTAGCTGCTCTGTAGAGGGCCACTTGAAATGCAGCCTATCACTACATCTAACGAACAAGCTAGGGTGTCAAAGCTGGATCCCCCTGTTAGGTAATGATGTATCCATGCCTCAGTGTGCTCAGAAAGCAATTAGTGCTCAGTAAATGCTGCTGAGGAATCGTGGTAAGCCTGTAGCAGCCCATTTGCAGCTGTTATCTCAGTTTACAAGATAGTGAGTTTCAAAATGGCATTATAAGGTCTAATATTTTCACTTCAAGACCAATGATTTTGCAGCAAAATCCAAGTAACGCATGGGTAATGGGGTTTCAATAACTTTTAAAGTGTTTCCTGAGGCTCACATGATAAATTGTCTAAAGTCCCAGAAGACAAGAAATGGGCAATTCAAAGTAATCATAGAATTACCTGGATGAAAAAATACTAAGGATCAGCTACGATAAATATTCCACTCCCTGTCATGTGCTGGGAATTGTGCTAAAGGAGACAAAGACACAGACTAGTCCACACGGCAAGTAGCTGTACTTTTTTTTTTTTTAAGGGTTTCTACTATGAACATATTCCCACCTTAATTTCAGTATTTCTAAGGCACAGCGCAAGACAGAACTCATGGTGTAGTATTTACAACTCTTACTCAAGGAAGCTTTAGGGGTTATTGATTTCTGTGAGCACCACACAATTTAGTGCTTAATTGCATGTGGTCCACACTGCACCCTGATCATGGCTAGGAGATGAAAAGACACAGAGCTCCTTGGAAACCAGCAGCCCATGTGACCTGGCTGAGGGCTGGTCTAAAGAAGGCATCCCAGTCAAAAAGGATCATCTGCTTGAGGGACATGATAGCCTGTTTGAGGAGTCCACCCCTGCTCACCCCCAAAGCCAACAGCTTTGGAGGATTTCGACCCTAAATAAGGGGGGTTAGAGGTGCCACATGATCGCTAGTGCTCATGCCATTGCCACCAAACAAATACCCTCCTGCCATGTTCCAGGTTTCCTCTGGCTGCTTTCCACACCCAAATAGAGCTGCCTCTCCAGATTTGCTTTATGTTCCCAGCTTAAGACAGAAATGCCCCCAGGATGGAGAAGTCAGACTAAAAATTGCAGGCATGTAACACTGCTCTATGAAAAGGCAAGGTTATAAGTTATGGCTGTCTTGCAAGAGAAGGTGTCTTCTTGTATTAAAATGAGTCTGTAGGCTCCCACCTCTACATCTGTTTCTTCAGCTGCTCATCTTCAACATCTGTTGGCAAAGCTGGAGCTACTGGGGCAATAGTCCAGGTGGCTAGTAAATAAAATGTGAAGGTCACAGTCACGCCCCCATCAGCACCTGCTCTGTACTCTGAAGAAGGCAGTGTTGAGTGGGAAGGTGTAACTCGGGCTGCTACCTGGGAGAGGACTGGAGCGTTCGCAGCAGCCACCCAGCTCAGCACTCCCATAGATACTCTAGCTGGGGTGTGGGTGCCTCCAGCACCGGGGAGGAGTGAAACATCACAGTCAGGGGGGAAAGGGAATAAAAATGTCTCTCCCTAACTGCAACCAGTTTTTCTAAAAATAAATAGGGCAACTTCCTACTCTCCATAAATTATTCTCTTCTGAAGGCAGAGCCACCTTCCAGAGACTGCCAAAAGCAGTTGCTGGATTTGGGGAAATTTTGTTAAAACCAGCAACAGTAACTCAAGCTAGAACTAGAAAGACATTGCTTCCCACTCTCCTTTATTAATTCTTCCCTGCTTACCCACTCTCAAACAGTGCTGCTGGGCTGAGCACACATAGGTCTTCTCCCTGCTCATGCTTTCCAGCCCAGAGAAACTAAAAACAGCAAGATAACCAAAATGTATGCTAGTTAGTGTCCAGATGTCAATTCCTGGAGTTATGAAATATTCAAGCCACAAAATCTAGTTTTCAATTTGCCCAGTAATCCAAGACTAATTATGCTTGATGTTTTATTATTAATGGATGGCATCAAAATAAAATCCCTTCATTTCAATTGTTATTTTGGCAAGCTGCAAACCACTTCATTTAGGAAAGTGCAGCTCAACCTCTGGCTTTAAACCAGCTGCTTTGCGTTTCAGGGAGCTGGAGCTCAGCCCTGTTGCACCTGGAATTGTCTCTGGATTCACCTGGTTTGTGTTGAGTTCCTGGAAGATTTTAGTTGAATACAGGAGAACACAGGAGCCAGGCCAACTACTGAAATATTTCCAGGCAGCTTCTTTGTAAAGTTGAGCTCAGCTCAGCCACCACTAGATCAAACTTCATTTATGCAGTAGATGTGTCATTTTATATTCTCAGTGAGTGACAAGTCATTACATCTATAGCAGCAACAGCCTGAAAATTTATAACTCAACTTTTATGAAAGTTAAGTTGATAAAAAAAAGAATTAATATTGGCTCTAAATCAGTTTTGACGATCTGTCTAATAACCAAATAGAGAATATTTGGTTAACACTTATATAGCAATTACTATATGTCAGGCACTGTCCTAAATGCTTTACATGCATAACCCTCACTTCTACCCTGTGAGGAGGGCAATGAGTATCACCTAGTCAGATGCCAGAGGAGACAGGTCACAGAAAGGTAAGTGTCCTGTCATGGCCATGTGGCAAATAAGTGGCAGAGGTGGGACTTCAAGCCAGGCAGGTGGACTCAATGTCTATGCTCTTAGCCCCTGTCCCCCTCTGCTGCCACTCAATACTTAGCAATATTTTCTTTCGATGAGCAGCTGTTTTTAGCATGATGGGGAAAATCCACGGACATCAAGAAAGGAGACCCTGAGTCCCAAGTCTCCCTTTCCTCTGAAAGCTACCAAGAGCTGCACTCCTCTAGCTTTCATGGGTCTGAACAAGACCAAAGGAGCAGAGCAAGGGAAAGTCAAGCTGCTCCCCCCCTGGAGGGGACCACTCAGCAGGCTCTCCCCAGTCCTCACTGCTGCTGTCTTTATTGGGAAAGGAGAAATGTGGTTGAAAGAAGAAACCACAAGGAGATGCACAGAATGCCAGGCAGCAAGGATGCCCGTCAGCTCATGGGTACACCAGCACAGCGAAGACAGTCACTCTGGGGGAGGTGGCTCTTTTGACACATTAATTACTCCTCAAATGCAAACAGCCCCCTACTGGCCTTCGGACAGAAGGAAGTACAAGAATCTCCCAGTTATAGACATGGGCAGGTACCATCAATAAGGTCGTAAACCCTCTTTGTGCAGCCTAGAGTTCCTTCTGAGATCAATTTAGATTTATAAACCTCATGCAGTCCATGCTAGAGTCCTAAGATTGGTTATAAATCTACCTGAGATTGTCTTCATGAATGAGCTGGGACTACCTTCCCCGCCCCCGCCCCAAACAACACATAACACACAATCCCTTGATATTTCAGACATCTAATTTCCAAAAGAAGTAGTTCATTGCATCCTCTGAGGTTTTCCACTGGTGCCTCCCTTTCCCCATGCTCAGGGGAACCAGGTGCCAGCCTGTCTGCTGCAGAGACAGAACACCAGGGCCCTGGGGGGTAAGGAATTCACCTGTGTGATGCCAAGTCAGAGGCCAGACCTGGACTAAAAACCCTGACCTCTAGGCAAGTGTTTTGTTTCTTACCTTGTCATAAACTCACTCATGTATGGAGATTCTTTGCATTCTCTGTTCAGATAAACTGGTTTTACTTTTTTAGCATTGAATGGGCCCCACTAGGGCATCTACCTGGTCCTTGTAAAAACCCCAGGATTTCCTGACTTCATAATATAACCTTATACTGGTTCTCTTATTTATATGTATTTAAAATTACAGGGTACTACAAATTCTTATAATGTAACATTCTAAATTTTGACTTGCTTTTTGAAAAAAGCAAAAAAACCATGACGTATGAGGGAGAAATAGGTATAAGTATGTAAATTCCAAACCTGCCCCACCAGAGAACACAGGCCAGCATGTAAGCTGTCTTTATTGAACAGGGTCAGAGGCCAGAGAGAAGCACCGGCATTAAACTGGACGTGGATTTAATACAAACTTCTCTTTTCTCCTGCGGGAACCAAGCCTGCTTGAGAAAAGTGGGAATTCTGACCATCAGAGCTTTTGGGGAAACTGTTTACGAGTTCCCTCTCTGGGGCTCTCTCCCAGAATATGGCAACATTACCAAAGCAGACACTACGGATTGGCCACATGGAAATGGCTCCCCTTTGTAACAGACGGGACCAGAAATTGTGAAGATGATTTGGCAGAACCACGCACCACCCAACCTCGAAGGCGCAGGTAAGATCTGTGAACCCGAGGCAACTGTGTTTCCAGCCTTTCTAACTGAAAAGGTGTATGTTCTAGCCAATTACTTGAGGTGCACTGCATTTTACACATGGGATGTTGGCAATCAACAAATAGAAACCAACTGGGGACCACCAAAATCCTCTTCTGTATGTCTACCCAATCTAAAGAGCAAATAAAAGCCATATAAACACCAACCTAAAGCCAGGAGGCTATATTTTAATTTCTTCTGGAAGGTTTAGGACCCTAGTTTTTATTTCTGATTGTTTTAGGAAAAAAGAAAGGGATTCAGACTTCCTAAGATAGCCCCTAAAATACCAACCGAGGAAATTAAGTAGGGAAATATATCAAGGTAACCATGCAACAA